GAAATGAACTTGCAACCCACAATTTGTACTTTTTACAATTATCATGACTTTTTGATGTTATTTTTTAATATGACGAGGTGGCTTAGTCACACAATAGTCACTGTCATAAGATCATATTGACAATTATAATTTGTATTCCAATGATTGAATATTGGATTTGGTTTAGAAAACTTTGCAAAAGCCGTCCCTCTTGGGTGAAGTTATGAATATATCGCTAGGGTAATACACACTTATCGTTCTACGTGTGCAGTGGCTTGTTGGTGAGTTTGGATAGCAGGTCTATGCATCAGGTGGGCTTTTTCCTAGAACCTCGCCCTGTATAATTGAGTCTTTTCATACAATCAGTATCCCTTCTCATAACGTGACCGAAATATTTAAGCATACGTGATTGAAGTTGAGAGACGTTCTGTGATGTTAAGTTCTTGGATTATAGATTCATTGGTTCGTCGGGCTGTCCAGAGAATTCTGAGCATTCGTCGCCAGCAGTACGTCATTTTTTTTTAATTCTGACAGTCTCATTGTCCAGAACTCGGAGCCATACATTAGTATAGGAAATACTAGGCAGTAAATTAACAAGCCTCTTTTTTAAGTTTTTTGATATATTTTTGTCTCGCCATATCTTTGAGAGTTTTCGAGAATTTTCAAAATTAAAATAATAGTCACTAAAGCCACTACGTTATATTAAAATATAACATCAAAAAGTAATGATAATTGAAAAGATTGCAAATTGTTGGTGGCAAGTTCATTTTGGCTCTTAAAAGTTATGCAAGGCATGTGTTGACATGAATGAAATAACAACATGCTCAAGAGTCACGCTTCTGACCGTATTATAATGTTCTAGAAAAATTTGCTCAATAATTTATTGCACAGGGTGTTTTAAAGTTAAAGTAAAAAACACTTTTTCAATTAACCCCGTATAATAAGCCAAGTAATAAAGTTAATAAAAACTTTTCATAAATTAAATTTGATATATTTATACAGGGTCGCTTTTATGCATGGAAACGTCGATTATTAGGTAAGATATACGAGATACCGCAAAAAAAATAATATAAAAGTTATAGAATTTTTAAATATCTATTAGCGGGTAATAAATTTAAGTATACAGGGTCGGTCATAAAGTCTTAGCACATCAAAGTTTCATTTTTTTTTTAAATGATACCCCCTGTATATTATTCCATATTTCGGTTCTTTTTTCAATTCGAAGCAAAAATGGAGATACACACAATGTACCTCAAACCAACCGTTTCCGAGTTATTGACTTTTGAACATATCACTTAAACAATTTGATTGACTTGATCACAAAGGAAATGGTAGTCACAAACAATAAAAGTCTTAAAAATGTACTTTTTTTATAAACAAGCTATTTTATAATACCCACACACACACCTATGTCCCCTCCAGAAAGTCTTTAACAGAGTATGGTTCCATACCAATGATAAGTGCCAATGTGATTGTTTGAATCTTCTAAAATTTGATATTTTTTTTATATTATTTGGTAGTTTATTAAATAACCTGAGACACATATAATATGGTCTCAGGTTATTTAATAAACTCAGACTTCTCAGTCAGAGTCAATCTGTGTACTGGGTAAGTTACATTTAGGGTTCTGGTGTTATATCCATGAGACATCTGTAAATCAAATGAATTCCTATTTTTAAAAAAGAAAAGCAGAGCTTCATAAATATAAACCCCATGCACCGTCATCAAACCCTCACTCTTGAAAAGTCCTCGGCAACTATCTCTACATTTCATATTTTTCATTGTCCTCAGCAGTCGCTTTTGAACAACAAATATTTTCTGTATGTTCCTATATCCACCCCAAAAAATGATTCCATACCTCAACACTGATAAGAAATTTGCATAATATAATATCTTAATAGTATTATAGTCCACATATCTTTTTACAACTCTTATCCCGTAATATATAGCATTTAGTCGTTTTAACAGAGAGCTTATGTGGTCTGACCAATCCATAAACTCATCAACTTTTACACCTAAAAATTTAACACTATCTACAATATTTACACATTTCTTATTACATACTTTTACATACTTTTACATATTATTACTACATTTACTTCTACAGTAGCTGGTTTAATCAAGTTAGACTGCTTTGTTCGAAACATAATGGCATTTGATTTTTCATTGTTTATAACTAATTTGTTCTTTTTAAACCAGCTATCTGTTTCATTGAATATTATGTTGGATTTATTCAATATATCGGTAACATCTTTCCCACCAACAAGCAAGTTTGTATCATCCGCGTAGCACACAACATTTCCTTTATTCAGGTCCATCACTGAATATATGTCATTTAGATATATTATAAATAAAACTGGCCCGATTATACTGCCTTGAGCAATTCCATCTACACTTGCTCTTTCTTCTGAGAAATATGAATATCCATCTTGTGGTATTTTTACTATTTGCTTTCTATTCGGTAAATAGGACCTGAACAAAGCTAGTACCTGCCCTCTTACACCATATAAGTCTAATTTCTTAAGCAGAAGATCCCGGTCAATGCAATCATAGGCTTTCGACAAGTGCAAAAAGATTCCGAGTGACAGTCTATCATTTTCAATATGTCTTAGAATTATTTTGGTAAATTGAAATAAAGCAGTTTCAGTGGTCTTGCCAAAAGTATACCCATGCTGATGCTCCCTAAATAAATGGCATTCATTAAAAAAATGTGTTATTCTTTTACACATTACTAATTCAAAAAGTTTTGAAAATCCAGGTAGCAAACTAATAGGCCTATAGTTGTCAAGCAGTTCTGGATCGCCTTTTTGTAAAGTGGCTTTATTAGAGCCGTTTTCAATTGATCCGCAAAAATTGCAGTTTTAAAACTATTGTTAATTATATAGGACAAGATATTTTTGATATGTGGAATTGATAATTTTACAATGCTAGTTGGAATTTCGTCATAACCAGAGCTGTTTGTTTTTTATTTTATTTCCTTGTTCGCAAATCTCATCAGTCGACACCGGTTTTAAGAACATTGATTTATTATTGGGTGTTATTTTACAGCTATGAGGTTTCTGTTCCAATTTATTAATTAAGTCGGTTATAATTGAAAGTAAAAAATTGTTATATTGATTTGCATTATCCCTGGGATCTCCACTTTTCCTACAATTACTATAATTACCTTTTTTGCCCAAAATCTCATCACATACTGTCCACATGGACTTCGTTTTATTATCTGAGTTTCATTTATAGATGAGATATTTATGATTTATTGGGTTAGCATTTATAGATGTATAAAATGAGATTATATCAAGTCTGGAAATTACAAAATTTTCGTTTAACATTTCAATTCTTCAATTTATGTACATTGGAGCTGTATGTTACTATTATTGCTTAAAATTGAAGGAAGAATTGAAATATGCAATAATATATAGGGGGTTTCATTTAAAAAAAAAGTTTGATGTGCCACAACCTTATGACCGACCATGTATGCTTAAATTTACTAGTAGCTCATAGGCATTTAAAAACCCAGTACAACAGTATCACAGTTTCGGCAGAATGGTATCTTTATATGAAACTGAACATATCGAAATTAATTAAATCAGATTGTTTAAGTGATATGTTCAAAAGTCAATAATAAAAAGCGTAAATGGTTGGTTTGAGGTACATTGTGTGCATTTCGATTTTTGATTTAGTTACTTTGCTTGAATTGAAGGAAGAATGTGCAATAATATACAGGGGGTTCTATTTAAAAATGTAACTTTGATGTGTCACGATTTTATGACCGACCCTGTGTCCATAAATTTATTACTCGCCACTAGACATTTAAAAACCCTATAATTTTTGTATTTGACTTTTTGCGGTACCTTGTGTATGTTACCTAATAATCGACCGTTTCCATACATAACAGCAACCCTGTATACAGTTTGCTAAAAAAATCATAAAAATAAAAAATATAACAATTTAAATTTAAGTGTAAATACAAAAAATGCATTTCTAGGCATTATTTACATTAGATTACCCCCCTATAAAGAACTCTTGTTTAAAGGATGTTCTATTTATAAACTAGAGGATCTTTATTCTCTTCCGAACATTTTGTTTGGAAATCTCCATTTTCTTTAGCGGCTCCAGTTACGAACAATTTTAACCGTAGTCTTCTTCTTCGCACTTATTTTCAAGAAAATAAAAGAGGAATTTAGCCAGATATTTGACACGGTCGTCAACTTTTTATTAAGTAAACGTTCAAAGTTTAGAGCTTGCTGATATTTTACGGCTCAAAGCGTAAGTTGTGTTTTCCGTGTTCTTTTGAACATACACGAAAAGTGCTATCTCTTTTGTACAGGAAGCTGTATTTAGTAAAACAAAAATAAAATAAACTGGTTTTTGTTTACAGACCAAACAAAATCGGAGTTTGCTTTCAGAGAAAGATAACGGGAATTTTCGCTTAAGCTTTTCTAGAAATGTTTGCTGCTGATCATAACTTACACTTTAGGGAATTACAGGAATATTATAGGAAAATTTAATTTCTTTAGCTAGGCCCTTTAGAGACATACAGAGATGTGAGTTATTTTAAATACAAGTATTTGAAATACAAATACAAGATATCTACAAAATACGTATTTTATCTTAAGCGGCGTTTACACGATGCAAGTGTTGCTTGCGCAAATACTTTATTGCAAGTCCTTGCAATTGAACATTTTAATATCACTTTATTTTCATCAAATAATTGTAAAATTGGTTTACTAGTAATAATATTTTTAATGTATGCATTTCTGTATCATGAATATTAGTCCATTCAAATTTAACATTATTTTTTATTAAATTTCTCATATTAAATGTTAATTTTGAAAGATTAGCAATAAATCTTGAGAAGAAATTAAATAATCCTAATACTCTAAGTAACTATTTCTTATTTTTAGGAGTTTCAATTGCTAAGACTGCTTCTATATTTTTATTAGATGGTTTAACACCATTTTTAGAAATATCTTGACCTAAATATGTTACTTCAGATAACTTATATTGTAATTTATCAAAATTAAATTTAACATTATATTTTAATGCTCTATTTAATACCATTTTAAAAGCTCTATCATGTTCATATTCGTTAATTCCACTAACAATTAAATCATCAAAATATATATTTACGTTAGGTATATCTCCAAAAATTTCTATACTTTTTCTTTGAAATATTTCAGGAATAGAATTTAAACCAAAGGGTACTCTGTTAAACTTATATCTACCAAATGGCGTATTGAAGGTACACAGTTTGGAACTTTCTTCAGTTAACTGAATCTGCCAAAACCCATCCTTCATGTCAATGACGGAGAAAATGGTCTTGCCTTCAAGTTTACTAAAAATGTCCTCACATTTCGGTATTGGATAATGTTCTCTATAAATGAATTTATTTAATGGTTTTGGATCTAGACATAATCGAAGACTACCATTAGGCTTTTCAACTATCATTAATGAATTTACCCAATCTGTTGGATAATCAACTTTAGAAATAATTTTTTTATCAACAAGGTCATCTAAACTATCTTTAAGTCTTTTATGTAAAGCTAATGGTACTTTTCTTTGTGGTTGTATTACTGGTATAGCATTAGGTTTTAATTTAATATCCACATATCCAGGCATTGATCCTAGTCCATTAAAAATTTCATTATAATTTTTATAAATATCATTTTTGTCTTTTGATAAACAAGTTTCAAAATTTTCATCAATAGTATCTAAACGACAAATTAATTTTAATTTTATACAATCAATTAAACCTAAAATTGATTCTGATTCAAAATCTACTAGTAAGAATGAAATCTTACTAGATATATCTTTATAATTACAATTTAAAGTATTTTTTCCTATGGTTTTAGATTTAAAATTTCCATATGATAATATTATACATGTTGATGGTGCAATACTGCTTTTATCTATATTTAACATATGTAAATATTTTACTGGCAAAATACTTGATTCAGCCCCAGTATCAAGTTTAAAATTAATAATTTTATTACATATATTAATTTTTTGATACCAACTTGAATTAATATTACTGTCTTTCTGTTCATAAATAAAATGTTATCAATACCTTGTACAGGTTCAACTAAATTATTTATTTTTACTTGATCATTTTTTACTTCAATCTTGTTTTTTATATTTCTATCTTCTTGTCGTTCACTCTCTTCAACTTCATTTTTCTTAGATTGAATTGGAATTGTATCTTCAACTTTTGATTTGCACATTTTTGCAAAATGACCCTTGTTACAAACTACACAGGTTTTATGAAATGCTGGGCATCTTCCTTTAGTATGTTTATAACCACATCTTCTACATTTAAAAGTAATTTCTACGGCATTAATGTTTTCTTCATTTGGGCTCAACAATTTAATATGTTGCTGTGATAATTCTATAGATTTACAATATTCTTGAATTTTTGTTAATGACATTTCATTTTCTCTAATCAACCTTTGTTGTATCTGTTTATTGCTAAGTCCTAAAATTACTCTATCTTTTAACATTTATTCTTCATACGATTTTCTACAAGTACCATTTGAACAAATAAATTCACAGTTTGCTGCTTGTCTTTTTAATTCAGTTATAAAAGAATCAATACTTTGATTTTCTTTTTGACAAATGTTATTAAAGTTAAATGTTTCCATAGTAACATTTTTCTTTGGTAAAAAATATTCATCAAAACATTTTAGAACATCTTCAATAGTTTTTACCTTTTCTGTTGGAAAAGTGTTAAAATACCGCTATTTTAACATCTTCTTCCTCTTTATTTTTTCCTGATGCTAATAAAAATATATTGAATTTTTGTTTCCATTTTGGCCATGCTACAAAATCTGCAACACAAAACTGCTCTGGTGCTTTATATTCCATCTTACTTTGTATAGTCTTCTTTCTAGGGGGCTATCTAGCGAGACTAGAGTGGAACTTTTTGTGTTTCAGCTTTCTCTTTTTCTTTTTCTCGTTTCCCTATGCCTATTTTACACACCTGACACCATGTTTCGTACTTTACTAATGGATAAGCCTCAGTAAGACGATATTTATTAATTAAACATACAGAGATAATTACATGACTTTATATGTCAAATACAACTAAACAACTAACTGTTATGACTACGCTTAGCCAACTATTTAATTATAATAATATCTATTACTAAGGTAATCTATATTATACAACAAGAGACATACAGAGATGTGAGTTATTTTAAATACAAGTATTTGAAATACAAATACAAGATATCTACAAAATACGTATTTTATCTTAAGCGGCGTTTACACGATGCAAGTGTTGATTGCGCAAATACTTTATTGCAAGTACTTGCAATTGAACGTTTTAATAGTATATTAAACAACGAGTTTCGAAAACGACGTATTGCACACGAGTTCGACAGTTTGTTTTGTCACAAATCGAACGAGTGTACAAAGAAGTTTTCGAACGAGTTTTTTACGCTATTTTTTCTACGACTACAAATTAGCAGCAGACTCACTCAGTTTTTGTCAGTTTTGTGGAATAATTTGCGATGTAATGATGACACTTTTCTGACGGCTGCATTGCGTTTCGCGTTTTAGCTAAACATTGGAGGTTAAAAATGTTAAAACTGGCACATGTCGTGTACACTATGTCGTGCGCTAAATCCTAAAGCACACGACAGTTTGGAAAACGCCAATTAGAGTTTTCCGTGTGTCAAACTGCATTTTCTATGTTATTTACATTTTACGTAAGAATTATACCGTATCATCGAAAAAAATCGGCGTCTAGTTGGCTTGGAAATGAACATCGATGGCACCTTAAATAACTGTACACATAAAATAATTAACTAGAATTTTACAATCTTGGAAAATTTGATATTCTTGAACCTTGTTTCTAAAAAATATTCTAAATTTTTTGATTTTCTTGGGATTTAGATTCGGGAAAAACGCTGATTAAGTTTTCATTTGGTTTTTCATTATTTTTATTTGGTTTAAAAAAAAACGTTTCGGCTAACATTATAGCCTTCATCAGTGTTGTCATATGAAAAAAATAGTGTCGAATATAATCCAAAAAATTACATATAAAATATTCACACCACACACATAATGTTTACTGCGTACTCCATAGTCAATGTAGATAATTTTAGTGTTAAGAATAATAATTTTAAAAAATATGTGGTCATCTTTTGATAAGTTTATATTAGTTTATTAATTGCAGTAAACATTATGTGGTGTGAATTATATTGTATATGTAATTTTTTGGATTATATTCGACACTATTTTTCTCATATGACACAACACTGATAAAGGCTATGGTTAGCCGAAACGTTTTTTTTAAACCAAATAAAAATAATGAAAACTTAAATCAGCGTTTTTCCCGAACCTAAAAATCCCAAGAAAATCAAAAATTTTAGAATAATTTTACATATAAAATGCCAGCGATCTTCATTTCATAGCCATCGCTGACGCCTTTTTTTAGATAATATTGTATTATTTGTAAATATAATTTTTCGAACATTGATACTTGCAAAATATACATATGAATTTTGTGAATGCAAATAATAATACATCACTATTAGTAGATATTGAATGTTTTTTGTTAAATTAGATCGATTTTCAAATCCCAAAATTTAAAATATATTTACATTTTACCCAGTATCTTATGTACCTATACATTATTTGTACATTGTAAAACATTTGCTGCATTTGTATGGTTCATAGTTTATTTGCCAAAGTATTTATTACTATAAATAGGTATATATGTTGTAGTTATTAACTGTATATTATGTATATTTCATGTAAACTATATCATTTTTAAAATACAAACCAAAAATCTGAGGAATAACTATGTTTTCCATGTATTCTACAACATATTTATTAATCCGTTATATCTAACTAGCGTGACGTCATAAATCTCGCCCGTAGGCTGACCTTTTAATAGAAGGCACTGAGTCAAGTTATTGTACAAGAGCTATGGATACCACAGAGATTGTTAAATGCGGTGTAAATATTTTATGTCATACGTTAAGTGATGAATTGCGTACTTTGTTATTGTTAGAAATCAAAAAGCAAGAGTATGGGTAAAACCATGGATATATCTGAGCAAAATTTATTTATTCCAAAACGCTTTCAGAGACAGCAAATTTCATATTATGATTTATATAGTGTAAGTATAGTGTACACTAAGGTGTACACTTCTAACGTTCTACAAACATTCACGTTTTTCGTAAATTGTTAAAAACCTCATAATTTGGTCGTCAGACAACCTGCTTGGCGTTATTTTTCCTACAACTGCTACTGCAAGAACTTGAGAACGTGTCTACATGTCAAATTTTCGCTCTGCAAGTTCAAGAACGCAAGAAAAGTAGACCTGTGGTCAATTTTGCTTACAAGCTGATTATTCTTGTACAACTATTTGAGCAAGTACTTGAAACACTGTTTACATTGTTCAATTACTTGAAATCAAGTACTTGCGCAAGCAAAACTTCCATCGTGTAAACACCCCTTTATATCTGAAATCCTTTATTTAATTTTTATTTTTCATTTGTATTTAGATACATTGTTTTAGTATAGTGTAATACATGATTTTGTAATATGTGTATGTCGCCTTTGTGGATTATGAGAAGCATTTCGACTTTATAGAGCTACACGCCATCCTCGATGCCCTACAAAATGCCAGAATAGACTACAGATACTCGGGCATAATATCATCTATTTACAAATCAGCTACAATGACTATCAAACTGGATGACATAAATATCACAAATAAAATTAAAATGGAAAGAGGAATCCGACAGGGAGATACTATTTCCCCCAAACTTTTTACACTGGCCCTGGAGGACGTATTTAAGAAGCTGAACTAGGACAAGAAGGGTATTAGGGTCGATGGTGGGATGCTTAACCACTTGCGCTTCGCTGATGATGTCGTTGTCCTGGCCTCATCGTTGGAAGAACTTCAAACAATGCTCGAACAACTTCACCACACATCTGCGCAAGTAGGTTTAAAAATGAATTTGTCAAAAACTAAAACCCTAAATGAAAATGAAGAGCAAGTTATTGTTAATGGACAAAGGATTGAGAACGTTAAAAAGTATATATATCTAAGTCATGCCATAAAACTCGGCAAGGAAAATCAAACAACCGAAATTTCTAGAAGGATCAAACTCGGATGGGCAGCTTTTGGTAAACTTAACTTTATATTCAAAAGCAAAATCCCAAATAGCCTAAAAAGAGATGTTTACAACAAATGCTTCTTGCCTGTAATGACCTATGGTTTGGAGACTATGACGATGACGGCACGAAGTGTGAACAGGTTGCGAGGGAGCCAAAGAGCTATGGAAAGAGCCATGATGGGTATCAGTCTTCGCGACCACATTAGAAATGAAGACATTCGCCGACAGACGAGGATAACGGACATCGTAGAGAGGATAGCTAACTCTAAATGGTCTTGGGCAGGACACTTGGCCAGACAGTCCGAGGAAAGATGGGCAAAAAGACTTCTTTGTTGGAGGCCACGCCTAGCAAAACGCCCAGTCGGCCGACCTCCTAAAAGATGGACTGATGATATCCAAACCGTAGCCGGTAAGAACTGGATGAGGAGGGCACAGAATCGAAACGAGTGGAAGAAACCGAGAGGCCTACATTCTGCAGTGAATGGCTGAGAAGAGAAGAAAAGAGAGTTTTAGTATCTTAGTATTTATTACAAATTTAGGTTTGTTAACTAGTTTTACTAATAATTATTTTATGCATATTTTTACTTAAAGACATCCCATAATATGGACCAAACTCAAAAATACAATGAGCTAAATGTAAATACTAAAACTAAACGTTCTTTTCGTTTAAAAAGACTTTTGTTTGAGTATGCTTTTATTTTAAAGAACCCAAGTTTAATTAAATTAAAATAAAAAATAATTCTTCTACATATTATATAAATTAAAATAAATATGAAATTTCTAAAAATGAAACTAAAGTAAATATTAATTTTCTACAATATATAAATTTGAAATATAAATTAAAATTCAACATATACTAATTAAAAAATTAAAAAATAAACATAATTCTTAACTTATTCTTAACTAACATAACTAAAAAAAAAATATCTTACAAAATTGAATATACAGCATATACAGATTGAAATAATTTACTCTCAACTTACATTACTAATACAAAAAAATATATAAAAAAAATATATCACTCAAAATAAATATAACTATTGCTTAAGTAATTTTCTTTGAATTGTGCATTGAGGTATGATTTGATTATTACCTTGTTTTTTCTTTCAATTTATCTAATTATAGTTGATTATAATACGGCTCCCCTCACCTTATGATTTTAGTCTAGTTGTTTTTAATTTTTTAAATTTAGCATACCATATTGTCAGAGTAAGTAAACCGCCGAACAGCGACAGTCCCGTTTTCAATTTTCTTTGCGGCTGCGCGAAATAAGTAGGTTATCTGTCATATGAAGAAGCGAAGTTGCCACTGTTGCCATTTATCAAATATCTCTATATACTTTATTTCATAGTATACCTCAGGCAACGAATCGTTTTTTTAATTATTTATTAGCTGTAAGATATTTTATACATTCAAATTTAAAAATAAGGATAAAACAAAACAAAAAAAATATGTATAAAACTTTATAATTAATTCCACTTCAAATTATGAGCAGTGTATACCATGTTTATAGGACCACTTTATAAGTTGAGCAGTTAAATGCGTGTGAAATTTCTTGGCAACACTAAGATTTATTTTTATATTAACGTAGGTGTACGTAGTAACGTAGGGTCTGTTTTGTTTCGTAGCTATAAAAGGTTAAAGTCTTAATTTTAGTACGATTTACTATAATTTTCTTCCAAATGCTTTAAAATGAAATTTTGCGGGTAATATACAGGGTGAGTCTTAAGTAAGTACAAATATTTTCTGGGCTGGTAGATCTCGATAAATGAAACATATTTTCTCTTTACCGTTTTTCAAATAAGTCCAAAATAACGGAGTTATTTTACTTTGAAAATTTTCAAAAATAATTTTTTTTTTCTTAAATTTTGAAAACCACCGGATCTTTTCTGTGTTCTTGAAAATTTAATCTACTACCTATGTTGCCATATTATCAAGAA